TACGTTGCATAACCATTGGTATGTTAGGAATTAACGCGGCTTTTACTAAATAGACAATAAAATGTTAAAAAATAAAAATGATAATATGATAAAATGTTAAAAAATAAAAATGATAATATGAATAAAACAACAACAACAACAATAATAATAATAATAATAATAATCATAAGTTTACATTACCTGTTTCATGTCGTATCATGCTTTGCAAAGCTAAACAAGCTTGAACTTTTACTGGTAGTTCTTCATCACGCATACAATTAGTAATTCCTTGAAATGCTATTCCTAAATTTGATTCTTGTTCAAAATCCAAACTATCAAACCTGATCATCATATCACATGCCTAATATTTTAGATTAGTGACGAAATTAACGAAATTAAAAAAAAATTATTACCAAAATCATTATTATTAACCATTATTATTGATTATTATTAATAATTATTGTGGTGGCTGAAGCTGAAATTGGCTGAAGCTGAAATTTTGACCTATTTTATTATAAAAATTTAAAAATTTTTGGGGTACATTTTTTTGACTTTTTTTTAGAGTTAGGGTCAGCTTTATGGGTAGAATTTATAATAAACAAGTATAAGTGGGTTTTAGTAGATTTTATGGATCTAAATTGAGGCCCAAAATTTTTAGCTTCAGCCAATTTCAGCATCATCTCCAACAATTATTATTAATCATTATTATTAATTATTATTAATAATTATTATTAAACATTATTATTAAACATTATTATTAAAATATCATTATTAAAATACAATTATTATTAATTTACCCTATCTCTTAAAAATGGATAAGAACTTTGAAATTCAGAAAACACATGAGTAGTAAGGAAACCTTCTATAAGATAAGCAACACTAGATTTTTTACGCATAACCAAATCACTAAGACATCTAATCATTTTCATAGCACCATCTTTATGATATAGATTTTTAGCATTAGTAGGAGCATCATGATAAATAGCTAAAATATTATTAATAAATCCCATTATTCTCATAAAAGTAAATTTTTTTTGAAGTTTTGCTAGGTTA